ATATGTATGTATATATATTTTATATATATAATTATATATATGTATATATATAAATATATAATATATAATATATATATATAAAAACTTAATCTACAATAATATATATATATATATAATTGTAGATTAAGTTTTTTTTTTCATTTAATTTACCTTACAAACACATTTACTGGTTCAAAGCTTTATCTAATTTACTATTTAGTGTCCATCAGCTGTTGACCCCCGTCCACATTATTTAGTGTTTTAATCAAAATACTCCCCCAAAAACAAATAGTAAAAATACTAATTGCCATTACATTTACATTCATAATTACTTAATGTGCTGTTTACACACAACAACAACTACGCATTTTCTCACTTATTTCTACTTTGCCAACTGAATTGTTGACTTATATTTGCTTGCTGTTTAATTATAATGTTTAATAAATTTAATATTGCATTGAATATTGCCAATAGAGCATGGTATTTTTCGTTTTTTTTTTTTTTTTTTAAATATTCAATCTGAAAAAATTAAAACGACTGAGTCAAGTAATCAGTTAATCGCGATTTCGAGCGAGTCCAAGTCTAAATGACTCAAGTACTTTTGAGTTTTTTTTTAAAATGCCACATAAGCGGCAACCACAATGTTGTAACCTGTCGGGGGTGCTTCAACTTATTTTTATATTCAAATGCAATCTATTATCATACACAGGTGAGTGAACTCAGTATAGAACACTGATCTGAAATGAGCTTTTAATGGATAATATAAAGTAAATATTCAGGCCATCAAACAGCGCATTTTCAAAAGAAGTTTGGAAACACTGATATACCTTATGATTATTCTCTTTGGAAAAAGCAGATAAAACTGCAGAACTATGGGAAAATTACGACAGAAAAAAAAAGTACCATTCATAAGGCGGGCTTATTTGTAAGTGACATATTTCAACTAATCACTACTAATTTTCAACTAATATTTTCAATGCAACTATTACGGTACAGTACCTGCAGTGAACTGCTATGGTGGTGTTGTTATCATGTCTGTTGGCTCTGACTGCCTTGACAAACTTGATGAATGTGTTGCAGGACTCTGGGACGCCATGCTCAGGCCATGAGGTGTAGTTAAAGTGGCGAACCAGGATGTAGTGTCCATGCTGCACAGAAAAAAAAAAAAAAAAAATAAAAAAAAAAAAATTTAGCGTGGGGAAAAAATAGGACAATGAGTGTTTGCATTAAGAGACTTTAGATCTCTATATCTGGAACAAATTCAGACTTAACAGCACACAGGGCAAACGCAGCTATGATTTCCGACACTATTAAAAAATATTCATTTAGCAAAGTTGATAATTAATGCAGTATAATTGGACGAGAACATGTTAATGTCATCATAATAAAATGTTAGTGTAGTGAGTTAAGTATTTTCTGTCATGCCCCCCCTTGGGGACACACTGAAATACTATTGAGAACCTGATAACATGTATATATTTGTATCTGTACCAACCAATGTATGAGTTGCTGCCACCTAGTGGCTGGAGGCATGTTATCATTCAAGCATTACAGCAGTGGTACACTTATGTCCAGTGTGTCTTATTCCATTGGAAGCCTCTCACCTCGCCCCACTATTTGAGAAGTACTTGCTGTAGTGTTATCAATAATAGAACTTATTAAAGAAATTATTTACTACAGTACATATTCAGTTACCTTTTCTACTTTCAGCGTTCTGACGCTCCAGTCCGGAAAGACTTCTTCAGACACTTTTGATATGAGAATGTCGCTAAACACGGACATCGGCTTGTTGTCTTCAGGCCAATACTTGTGACAGCGAATCTAAAAAAAACAAAAACAAAAAAAAAAAAAAAACACAAAGACAAATAAAGCTCTGAAAGTTAGCTACCAAGTTCGTACACAGCATACTATTGGCTAATACAGTACAATGCGTACTCTGTGTACTATTGGCTAATCGAGCGTGCACTTCTGTTCCGCACGCTGATCGGCTCATGCATCGTAGCATATCTCAGCATCTCCCCATTGTCTGTCGGCCACTCTCTCGTTCACTTAGCGTTGCGTCGCTATTCTACAACTCTGCTTGGCTTTTTAATGCACGACTATAAAAAAAAAAAAACTGTCTTTCTTCAATTCCAGAGAGTATATCAGTGTTGTGTTCAACTAAACAGTCCCAGATTTCACACCGAGCAGGTAGCTTGTTTGTACATTGAAACCAGATTTTGAAACACGTTCGCAAGACCAAATGTAACGTTGACCGCTAACGGAAGTGTCAATGTGTTCATTACGCACTTTGCCTTTTTCGAAACACTGCGTAAGCATGGCGACGGTGCGCGTCCCTGTTTCCCAGATCATCCTCCAAAAGTCAGCCACTGTACCAGGCAAAGGGCCCTGAGTAGCTATGAACTCATTGGGACACAAGTAGCCCTAGAAAAAAAATAAAGAGAGTATATTGATATTTAATACAAATCAAATCATGCTAACACAACCCTTAAAACTCATAGCAACTTACCGAGACAAAGCTAGCATTGATATAGTCTGAGCCTGCAGTGCCCGGTTCCGACAGTAGTTTCACGCGGTTGTTGTTGTCTATAGATAATAACAGTATAAAGTAATGAAACAAACGAGTACAAGCGGGAACTAAGAAGATCACATTGCAGCTAAAACACAAGCTACAAAGGTAGCATATGCTAATATTTCACAGCACAGCATTACCACTCACAGGGCCTTATGTTAGGGAATCGGTTTTTGGATTTGTTCCAGGGGAGGTCAGCGTCTGTGGTCGCCAGGTCCTGCAGAAGCTTTGGGAGCGCCTGTGGAGGTAAGATTGAATACGTTACGTTTTTCATTTAAAAATACTAAAGTACCAATGACCACAACTTGTGAGTTTACGTCTTAATTGTTAACTAAAATAAGTCACTAGGCAGCCATTTTCTGTTCTTCAAAATAACAAAAATGTTAATTTAATTTTAATACTGAATGGGAATTAGATACCTGTTTATATCTATGTTTTTGATGTTTAGATAGGAGGGAATTTTAAATTAATTGATAGTATATTTCTGGGGGGCTAGAATGAATTCATTAGTTTTTAGTTATTTTTAACACAAGTGCTGTTGTAGTTGTGGCTGTTTTTTTTTTTTTGTTTTTTTTTTGATGTTTTTTAATCCTGAAATTTTGACCAATATCAAATTGATACCGATTCTTAGAATCAATGATTGATATAACATAATATAAAATTCTACATTTTATATTATGTTATATCAATCAATCAACAATCCTAAAGAGGATTGTTACTGCTCACTTTTACTAATTTATATTAATAAAAGTATAATATTATATAATTATATTTAAATAATAAACTAATATAATATATTATACCACATCATATATAATATTATATATTATATAATAATAATAATAGTAGTAAGTAATAATATATATATAATATTATATATATTAACATTAATTTATTTATAATTTAATTATTGTTATTGTTATTATTTAATTACTGCTCACTGCCAGGTAACGGGCTAAATTATGTCATTATGTAGAGCTAGGCACTTACAGCAAATTCTTCCTGGAACTTGGCGTTGTCATTGGCGCACAGATCCTCCACATGCTGCAGAAAAGACTTCTTGCTGATGGGCCTGACACAGGGAGGAGCAGACGCGTACAGACAATATGACATGCAGAAATACAGTACAATACATATATGGCTTTAAGCACTACTTTCCAAGGAACACGTTTGCAGATCTTCGCTTTAGCTACTTTAGGCATTACCTATTTATACAACCCGACTTACTTGAGAGACTTCCTGTAGCTCAGAAGTCTGAAAAAAAGAACAAAAAAAAAAGGATTACATTTTGAACAAAAATCAAAAATGATTCATTTTTCCAATCCAGTATAATACTGCAGTGGCATTCATGTTTCATTGTAAATGACTATATGAATGTCAGTTCACCTAAAAGGATTTTTTTTTAAACTATGGTTGGTGTTAATATAATATACTGATGATTCACAAGTGATAAAGCATTTACTAAAAAATAAGCCCCCCATAAAACACACAAACAAAATCCCTACTTACTGAATGACGTAAATCTCCTTTCGTCTAAAGAAGAAGGAAGAGTACCTGAACAGGTGAACAATGATAAAACCAAGACAGATCAGTGCTATTACCTGCGTTCATGACATTCTTGTGATGTGGTCATTTTTTTTTTTTTTTTTTTTTTTTTGCCATGCAATTTTAAACACATAATTAGAATACTGGTAAAGAATTCTCTCACGAAAACATCCCTTAAAAAGTCTTCCAAACTCTGCCGCACATTCTTATGTTGATTTGGCCCTATAGAAGTAACATGTCAACAAGCAAAACATTTTCTGGCTCCCCATTGGTTAAGAATTGGAATTTCAAAATTCTTCCAAAATGAAGACTACATTTAAACAGCCCAACAAACCTAGACTCACCGATTGATCTTTTCCTGTTTTACCTCCAGATCTGCCACAGCAGCCAGTTGATCCAGTTTATATTTAGCATCTATGATTTCTACTTCTCTGGGTGAATATGTGCCTCCATCCATCTTATGCTGATGGACCCTATAATGAGGATTAAACAAACAAAAAAAAAACAACACAACAAACACAGTTACACTGTATATTGCGTAGACTGGCTGATTATTAAGTTTTTGATTAGAATCACGTTTTTCCGGCCTAAAGTGAATTCAAACCAATGTCATAAATACAGAACAGAACAGACTGGACTTTCAGCATTAGCGTGAGTGAAGCTAGAAAAGGAACTTGTTAGAACTGCAATGCACAGATAATCCGTACAACAGAGTGATTGAACTCTTTTTAAGGGAAAAAAAAAGGAGGAAGGATTTTGTGTACAAAAATATATATATTTTTTTATGTACATTATCTCGCAGCTGTGGCTGAACTGTGCTGCATGGGGTTGTAGCTTTAGCAATTATGGCTACATTAGTTATCAAGGATGTTACATAGATGTCATTATATAACCATTAGTCCATGGCTAACCATTAAAGCCATTTACATGTATGCATTTAGCAGACAGTTTTATCCAACGCAACTTACAGACAGAGGAGGACTAACGTTACCAAGCGTGGAATCGAACCCTGGACTTCTCTGCTCTCGGCTTCCGAGGCAAGGTGTGCTAACTGCTACATTATGGAACCACTACTACTACTGCCGCTTACTACCTCAGTGGGGGCCGGCCTGAGGAAATCTTAGCGTAACCATGGCAATGGTTGAACAGTGAGAGGGAAATGGCTGCCAGAAAATCGAGAGACAAGCAGGCATTTGCAATCAAGTGTCTGTCTTTTGTATGAGGGGGGCCGTCAATGTCAAACATCAATCGATGTTTAATCACATAAATGAACCCTAATGAATAACAGCTAATATAAAATCAATTAGCGCATAATACTTGAATCTCAATGATGGCAAATAAGTGAAATGTCATCTTACTTGACCGCAACACAGATGATGGTGATAAGTAACACTGCCAGGAAAAAGGACAGCAGAACACCGAGAATGATCTGTTCATCTCTGGTCAGCAGACCTTCGTCTAAACACAAACAACACAGAAATGATTCGTACATTTTAAATATATATTTCAAACAATTCACTTTATCCCACAACGCAACCACTGCAAACACAGGGTACGTGACAGCAACAAAAACTTTTTTTTCTTTTTACAATTTTTACAGGATAAATTATTCTTAATACAGGATACACTTAACCCTTTCATGCATGACGGTCACTACAGTGGACAGCTATTAAAATGTCGTTTTCTATGATAAGAATAGGTTTCGATGGCAGTGTTGGCATATAAGCCTCTGCGGTGGACGCCTGAGAATCACCCAACACTGCCATACAGTGGTCAGCCTTTGCAACTGCAGAATAATTGTGTTGTGTTCAACATACAAAAAGAAAAATTTGGTGTATAAAAACAGAACCAAATCAGTTCTATATTTTTATGTCTAAAAACACTTAGTAACATTTTTTTAACTCAGTATATCATGGGTCATGCATCAAAGGGTTAATTCTGGTAATATACAGTATGTATATGTCAATGTGGCAGGGTATACTCCACAAACATTTAAACAGTATATTTTATTATTTTCAATCATCCAGGTAAATAATACATACTTATTAAAATATAAATATAAATGTTTGACATTTTGGATTATCACATTTTTACAGGATACCTTTAGTTCTGATGTGGTCCGAGTACTCCGAGTCTGTATATTGGCCCTTTGTGTTGGTGGCTCTGAACTTGAACCTGGTAGTTACAAAAAAAAAAAAAAAAAAAGAAGATTAACAATCTCATAGATTTTATAAATGTACATGTCAAAAACACAAAGTTTGTCTTTTGTGTGTCTGAGTTTTGAACTGACACATATGCTGTGTTTGGCTTAAGGGGACCGTTGCAAAAATGCCGAGTGTTGTTCTCCTTAACGCAGCTGTCGTTCTCTCCAATCACGTACGTCCTGGCCCTGGTGTGATTCTGCCTGTTATAAACTCGGACCTGTGCTCCCCGGCGCAACATATCGTCCTCAAATAAACAGACTGGATTCGGAAATCCCTCATCAGTCAGGTAGGGGGCAGGATGACCCAAGAATGCGTTCTTCCACACGGTCACATTTTGAACGTCTTTCACTATCAAATATAATCAGAGAACACCAAGTCAAAGTCAAGCTGCTGTTCTTCTCATACAGCACAAGTACTCTTGTGCATTAAGATTGAAAAGATACCACTGGCAATGTGTGTGTGTGTAAAGAGCCATACCTCCTGACTCTGCCACGATAACTTGGATCTTTACGATTGGTCCATTATCGTCATTGTAGAAACAAGCAGGAAGGCGGATTGTGATAGTCCTGTGGGTTACCATGGCAACACCCCCGGGGGTCAGTTGGACTTGAGGTATTTGATATGGTTTGGCTGGTGCTGGTGAGTACACACACACACACACACACACACGTTATTCAGTTTGCATGACTGGCAGTAATCAGCCATTTTTAGTTGGTAGTGTGGGTAAAAAAAACCAAAATGGTCGCTGTTCTTCAGAACTGCTAACAGTATACAGGGAGATGAGTGGAAAAGCAGACAAGCATGGGCAATTTTTGAGAGAATTGCCCCCCCCCCCCCAAACTTCCCTGAGGTGAACTTCAATAAGTCCAAGTACAGGTCTTAGACTTACTGATGATCATCTTCAAGCCACACTGAGGGTCTCAACTGCTTCCTCTCTCAAGCCAAATGTGGTTCAGATTTGTGAAAAGAAGCGCTGTCAAGTCTCTGGCAGCAAGAGGAGCCATGTTCCGAAGAAAAGTTCGTGATTTTCACTCAATGTTCAAAACACTTCATGGTCAGAAGAAATCATTAAAACTGTTAACATTTGAGGACTTTTTTTTTTTGGATTTGGGGTTTCTTTACAAACTGTTTTATATCGTGCTACTGTGAGATGTTGTTTGTATGTTTTGTTAAAGTTTCTATTGTTTTACATACATTTGAAACCTGCCCATTTTTGAGCAACAGCCGATAATATGTCCCTGTTAGAACATATTACTAGAAGTCAGAGGTGGGACCAAGTCGTTGCTTTGCAAGTCACAAGCAAGTCTCAAGTCTTTGCACTCAAGTCCGAATCAAGTCTCAAGTCAAAATAGGCAAAGTCCGAGTCGAGTCCAAGTCAAGACTGAAAAGTGTCAAGTCAAGTCCCAAGTCCTGCCGTTTCTGTTTCGAGTCTTTCCACTCACTGCCACTCGTTTTTTTGTTGACCATATCGTAGTTTTTAAATCCGAACAACACGATCTTTGCCATCATTTTCTCTAACCCGCGGAAAAGAAGACAACTCTTTCTCATCGGTTGTCCCGCAATTTGATTGGCTCGATATTATCGCGTCAAAACAACGTGGGTCTAATTTGATTGGATGTTGTGCCGACAGCACATACGTGCACAATGAGAGATACACAGCGCTCCTCAATTACTTACTTTATAATCTTTGGGTTTTGGGGGAAAGTATCGAGTCTTGTCGAGTCAAAGGGCTCGAGTCCAAGTGAAGTCACGAGTCATTGATGTTAAAGTCCAAGTCGAGTTCCAAGTCTCTTTACGTTTTGTCAAGTCGAGTCTAAAGTCATCAAATTGATGACTCGAGTCTGACTCGAGTCCAAGTCGTGAGACTCGAGTCCACGCCTCTGCTAGAAGTGTGTAGGCTATACCAGGCATGGACATACAGTAGCTTAGGTTAGCAAAAAAAGAAAAAAAAAAAGAAAAGAAATGTACCTTTGATATCTGTGCTGATCTGGACATCTGAACTAGGTGGACTCATACCAACTCCATTTTTTGCTGAAATCTAAAAAGAAAAAAAACAAAGATTTGAGTGGCAGGGTGGAATAACATAACACAAATGCTACAACCTAAAGCCTGTGAAGGTTTAGGGGCATCTGGAAACATTGGGACAGCGGTGCGTCATACCTCCTTACCTGTATGCTGTAGTTTTTCCCTCCCTTCAAGCCCTCAATGACAGCCGTCAACGTGCTGTTCTCCCCTCGAGCGATAATCAGGCTATCATTCTTCACCAGTTGCTGCTTTTCGTAGACGTGCACAAAGTAAGCTGTGATGTTTCCATAGGGCTCGTCTGGGGGTGTGAAGGTCACCCTCACACGGTTCACCTCCTCGGGAATAATTAATATAACCACATTTGTGGGAGGGTTTTTAGGCTCTAGAAGAAGAAGAAGAGCAGAAAATAACTCACGGAACCTGCAGAAGATGAGTGAAGGCGGTTGCACAAAATGGGAAAAACTGAAAATAAAATGTAAAACGAGGGGAAAGCTGTGCTGGAAAGCCAGTTCTGTTTAACCTTTTTTTTTTTCCTCTTACATTTCCCCCCCCTTTTTAATTACTGTGCCTGATGTGAAGCAGATAATATTAGACACATATCATCAGAGTCTTAAGATTTGTGGTGCAGTTTTGTCTCGAAATTTCTACTTACCCTCCTCCAGTGTTTGGTATTCATTGGGTCCAATAGCTTTCCCATTAATGGTGGCTAGAACCAGCGGCCCAGTGAAAGCAGTGATGGTCACGCGGTACCGAGTAAAAGGAGTCAAGTTTGTAACAACAATGGTCATCGGCTCTCCAGGGGCACGGACTGTTGTCATGTTCAAACCAGGACCGTACACCTGACCCAAGAACAGGATGTTGTCATTATGTGCATTTCGTGTCAATACAAAATCTCTAGGGAGTAGGGCTCAATATACAATTGTACATATATATATAATTTTTATATAACCTATGAATTAACATAATAAAATCACATAGGTTTGCCACCGCACATATCCCTGCGGATCCACCAGAAGCCAAACAATATCAAGGGTCTGCGTGACTGCCGACGACGAGGACAGAGTGGAAAAAGCTTTGATCAACTTAATATCCTGTACTCCTTTCTTCTAAGACACATACTTACGAAGTATTCGACCAAAATGTCCTGTGAGTTTAAAATGTAGTTTTTCACTACTGAATTTGTTGGATTAAAATGAATAAAAACTTGTGATGTAGGCTGAAGAACATGTTCCTGGGACATCATAAAAAGAAGAGGAAGAGAGAGCGAGAGAGACAGAGAGAGAGAGAGAGAGACATTGAAGTAACCTGCACCAGATATGACGTTGGGCCAGAGAGAACAGTTGGAGCGTCCCATGCAATGTGAAAGCTTCTAGAGGTGGGGGTTACTTTAAGGTTACGGGGTGGATCGTCAGGATCTGCGAGATGAAGATGAAATATAATCCTTGATACACGATAATAAATGTCATTCAAATTGAATTGGAATGGGTTTAATTAAAACGTCCTTTTAATTTTCTATCAATATCTTTAAAGGTCAACACAAAGAAAAAACACATAGCTATTTCAAATACTTTAAGTCAACTGTGAGGAAAAGACAGTTTACAGTTGACAATTCGTTTCTCGAACAAAATTCTTGACCGGAAAATTGTCGGTTGTCGTACTGCGTATAACTAGGTTGTCGAACAAGCCGACAACATCCAGCAGGCAGCAAGTGATTACTGAGTTACCATCAGCCCGCGATCGAGAGTTACACTATTTCTTTTATTTTTTTATTTCATTAAATGACCATGGTACCTAAAAAAAGCTAGTCAAAGTGGAAAGACGGAAGGGAAAATAGTGAGAAAAATAGTGTTTTAGATCTGGTTTTACAGTACGGCTCAGCAAAGTTGTCGATTTGTACCGTCATTAAGAACAAGGAAACAATAAAAAGAAGCTAAGGTTGCCCAAAGGAGTGACTGTGATCACCAAGCAAAGATCTCAGACGATTAGAAGAAGTCAGGTCAGTATGTAAAAAAATGCGTCTTACCTCCCAGATCTGTGCGCACATAACTCCAGTACGTGTATTCTCCCACTCCGGCGCTAGTCACAGCTGCCACTCTCA